GAATGCCAAGAAGACAGTCTGGGGTTCTTATCCACTGAAAAACAAAACAAACTAACTAAAAAAGTAGCTTTGATTGATCTAAAGGCTGGACAGAGCTCTCAATTGGGTCTGGGGTCTGTCTGCCTCCTCTCCCCCCTTTTTAGGAATCACTATGGATGGGAGGAAGTAGGCTGGCCTGGTTTCCTAAAATAACTTGTATTCCTGGGCTTTTCTTATCCAAGGCTTGTAGTGGGGTCCCCAGGCCTGGGTCTTAACTGCTGGATGCTCCCACAGGATGTTCCTGGCTGTTGGCCTGTGTCACTACAAAGGGCATACTCCCAAGATTAGTCAGGAGCTCTTGGTCCCTGTTTACCTCATTTTGGAGTTCTATCTACCCGCTGTCTCTAACAGCAGTAGAGCAGAGAATATCACCTCTCAGATTCTCCAACAATGATTGTCACCTTTCCTACAAATCCTATGCATTATCAGAATATTTCCTACTTTGGAATGTATAAAGATACTCTACAGTTAAGGTCATCCATGGTGATGAATGTCACTTATACAGATCACACAGAGTAAAAGTCCAGTTTTAGGTTGACATAAAAGTCAGTGTTCTGCAAACCAAGGATCTGTTTTGACTCCACATGGAAGTCATTCACCTCAACTCTGACAGGGTGAGAGATCTACCACCACTTAATGGCCAGATAAACTACCTTTTCAGGGGAGTAAATATAAACATGGATGTTTTTTAAAAAGTGGTTGCTTTGAAGATCCTGCAGTCAAATGGGGAAGAAAAGACAAATGACTGCAATACAGGACATCAGAAATCAAGCACAGAGTGGGCCCAGGCTAACAGTGACAGAAGTTGGCTGAGAGGAACAAGCGGGAGAGCTCGGAGCATCTCAGTGTGCAGGAGTGAGTTTTTACACTGTGTGCCACGCCGACCACATTTACTAAAGAGATGTGTGCAGAATGGTGCCTCCCACTGACTTAGCTCTGCTCTTACAGAAAGCAGCAAACTCTATCATCTCTGTCTTCTTAAGGATTTGTGACCAATCCAAAAAGTCTGCAGAATTCACCATGCAAATGAAGAGAAGGCAAGGGGAGAGGAGGGAAAGGCCATCAGATGAGAATGAGATGCATAGTGTGGCTGGGGCCCAGGATGGTAGAGTAGTGTAGAATAAGGCTGGGGACAGAGTTATGAGTTAAAGGTGCAGGGTCTGGGAGGAGACTGCCCAGGTCTGAACACTAATCCTGTCACTAGCTATGCAGTTTAGCCTCAGGCCCACAGAAGCAGAAATCTCACAGGGTTGCATGAATAGTAAATGAATCAGCTAAGGGACATGTGAGTGGAAATGTTAAAGGAAGGGGGAGGGAAGGAAAAAGAGACAAAGGAAATAAAGGAAAGAGAGAGGGCTGGAGAAATGGCTCAGCACCCACATGGTGACTGGCAACCATCTGTAACTCCAGTTCCATGGAATCCAACATGCTCCTTGGGGCTCCAAGGACACCTGCATTCATGTGGTGCACAGGCCCTGGATTGTTTGATTTTTAACCTGAGTCAAATCATTCAAAGAGATGAAGAATTTCACTCACTTAAATAGATACAGTTGCACTTAACTGCAGCTCAGTGATAGAGTCTTGCCGAGCATGCCCAAAGCCCTATGCATGCCCAAAGCCCTATGTTCAAACCTCAGCACCGCAAAAAGAAAAGCCTCAAGTAATATAACCAAGAGATAAAGAGGAATTAAAACAAGAAATGAGTTATACAAAAAAAAAGTTTATTCAAAGAGGAAAAATACAGTAAACAGCATTAAAATATTACATAGTGACACATTCTTATGTAAATCATAGCAATCAAAGCTACAATACAAAAACTGTAGCTAATTACATCTCCTGTTAATCTCACCTGTATTCTTTCATTGAGTAGCAAAGCTTATACTTCTCAATAACAATGGTATTCTGACTACTGGAATTGGGTTCCATACCTGAGATCAAACTGCTCGGCCTGAGGCAGGCAGTCTAGTATACTGTTCATTCTCCACTCCCATGAATGGAGGCTATGCCGTGACTACCACAGCATGATAGCCAATATTTCCTGCTGCCAAAGCGCTCAGACAGTGATGCACGCCACCTTTGCATTCCCTGTCCTTCATCTGTCCTCAAAACCTCAGCGGAGAAGGCTACTGGGTATACAGATACTGCAGCACCTACACACCAAGGTTATTCTCCTCCCTAGGGCTGCATGGTAGATATGAAACATGGGATAGACTGTGGAGAGCCAAGAGATTGCTCCTATATGTTAATTTATGCAAAAAGAAGCTCCAATATGCAGGCTATTTTGTTGTGTACACACTAATACTGATCATAACAACGTTAATGATAACAGTCCACAAACACCAATAGCACCATGGTATACAACCTGCTAAGTATACTGTGCACATGACCACATATGAGCCTCACAGCAATCCCCTGTGTAGAGACCACTGCTCCCAGTTTAGGGTGAACGAGAAAATGACCGCGTAAGATACAGTACTTGTAGTAGATGCAAGATGGAGAAGACTTTGTAGTCCACGAAGTAAGCACATGGGAACTGTATTCAGTACACACTGCATTACCTGGGAGCTCTCAAAACATGAAACATCTAAGGCTAGAGGTTCATTCATGTAATCCCGGTAACTGACAGGCAGAAGGAGGAAGATTGCCCCAAATTCAAGGCCAGCCTGGTCTATAGTGCAGGTTCCAGGCCAGGGATGATTATCTATCAAGACCCTGTCATAAACAAAACAAAACAAAACTTATACCCCTCACTCCACACTCACAGAATTGGGTCTTCTAGTCACACACAGCTAAGGACCAGATTGCCCCACACTAATTCACACGTTAACAGATAATACTAACTAACTAACTGAAGGGATTCTCTGAGCTTTTATTATTCAAAAGTATACATGAGTCAGAGTTAGTGATCTCAACCTGACTATAATTCCCACAGGCTGGGCAGTACAATGAGGCTCCATGAGGAAGTCCTTTGTCCCAGGGAAGTGAAACCAGGGGTGTTTCTCAACGGAAGCAGGGATGGTGGGACATGGCAAGCACACAGAAAATGATAAATAATTGCTAAGGGGACAAGCCAGTGATGGACCGAGTCCCACCAGCTGCAAGCAATTTCACTCCTGGAAACCCCTTAGTATTCGTTCTGTACCCCTTTCCGTCCTACCACATTCACCTTGCAGTTTCATGCTGCTTCAAAACAAGGTTGTGTATACCGATGGGAAGCGTCCAGGTGCAAGCCATTCTCTGCTAAGTTCCCCTCTACCAACAGAAACCATGACTAAATCTTCCAGCAGAGCCCTCAGTGCTCAAAGAGCAGCCAGCTTGATTCCAAATGCGACCTAATTGGCATCTGTGGGGCCCATGGCCTAACTGTGTGGGTTGCTGGGAACCAGCTGCAGAGGGCACTCTATATGGAAATCATTAGAAATCTAGTAGACTCCACTGGTGGACAGGCCCCTGGAAGGCCCAGCTCTGGGAGACAGACGAAGGGGACCCAGCAACGGATCAAAATGTTCTTGTGTACTTCTATTCTTATGGTTTCACTGTGGAAAGTGCACATCTTTAAAATTACAGCTTGGTTGGGAACACACTTAGACATCAAAGACAGTGATGAAAACGTAACAGCCAGTTCATTTTTGCCCGTGTCTTGGTGTTAGATGACGCACAGCTGAGTTACCCTGTGTCATATTGCTTCTTGCTGTTTCGTACTCTGTTATTCTACTACATCCTCACACCCTGTAATTGAATAACTGTCAAGATTATCCACTCATTCATTTCTGAATGAGGCTCCAATCACGTGGTAAACCTAAGGACTTTAGGAAGTAGCTAAACACACAGTAGAAAAATGTATGAAATGAAGGAAGACGCAAAGCTTGCCGGCTGGAAGTAACTTCATTCTCTTTAAATGTCCCAGAAGTTGATCTTACCTTGCTTTCAAAGCTCTTTGCTCATCACCACTTAACCTAAAAGAGCTCATGTGATTCCTAGGGAGAAAAACAGGGTTTGGGTAGGTGCCAGGGAATAAGTGATGTTGCTGAGAAGCTGCAAGAACATTTGCAAAGCCTTGTCTGCCACTCCTCTCCAGCCCACAATGGTCACTCACTGATGTGTGTGTGATCTATACAACGCAACACCCCTATGTCTCTGAGAGACTTGACCTTATGAATGACAGCTGACAGGTAACTCGGGCACTGTCCTGAGCGCTGTGAGATGCAATGCTGTTAGTTTAGGCAAACATTTCTCTAAGAAGTCAAAAGGTGCTCTACAAACTGAAACAGAAAATGTCTTTATCCATTACTGAAATAAACATTTTTGAGGAAGCAAAATCTATCTATCAATGACTCCAAATGAAACTGTAGTATTAAAAATGAATGGAAAGTGTTAAAGGAAAACCTACCCAGACTGCATATGCGTAAACCATCCCTGAGGGTCCCTGAGCCTACCTGCATCCCAGCCCAAACAACTGGAGAGAGATGAAGGGCAAGGAAGATCCAAGGCAGACTAACAATTTTCAAAGAAAAGCCAAATCTGCTCACTCAAGAGAACCTGAGGGGCTGGGAGCCCATAGCCAAGGGGTGACTATTCCTTGGAGATTAAGCAGAACCTAGCCCAGCCAGGTTCCACATAGACACACCTTTTGTTAATCTAAGTTCAAAGTCTAGCCACAAACTGAGGATCTGGGTCATCCCTATTGAATTTCCCTTACACTAGCAAGTTTAGCAGTTCTTTCTTTTAAGAGGAAAGCACGCCAAAGTAGGGGGGTATGAGACTGAAGGGAAGCTGTCCGAAACTTGGGGAAACGCCCTGGGCGCAAAGTCCTGACCCGAGCTGGCCGCACTTCCAGGGCCAGTCACCTAGGGTCCGGCCGCCTGGGAGCATTGAAGGGGGGCGCCAAGTTCTGGGATCCACACGCTCCAAAGTCACCCGCCCTCGGCGGAGCCTGGGGCTGCAGATGTGGCATCCGGACATCACGGGAAGACCGCGGTTAGGTCGGGTCCCGACCGCGGGCGGCCTCGGGGCGGTGCAGCCCAGCAGCGCTCATCAGGGAGCGCTGCGTCCAGAGCCCGGGGACTGCCGCCGCCCCTTCCTCCCGCGCGGGCCCGAGCGGGGATCGCGGCCCCGGCATCCCGCCCGTCCGCCCCCCAACTCCGCGGACGCCCTGGTCCTGCATGGCTGGGCGCGGCTCCCTTACCGCGCGGCGGCTCCGGGCGGCTCCTCGGCCCCGCGGCGCGCGGGGCATTTTTTTCTGGCAAACTTCTCTCCGGGTCCGCAGGGCTGAGCCGGGGCGGGCAGGAAAAGCGCTCCGCGCGGGGAGGCTGCGACCATCCGGGAACTTCGCCGAGATGTGAGCCCTCCCCCTCGGCCCGCGTCCTCCCCCTACGGCCCCCGCCACACGCGGCCGCCGAGGCCGCTGCTGGCCCTTCGCCCTTCGCCCTCGCCGCGCCCTGCCCGCCCGCCGAGACCCGCGGGGCCGCAGCCCGGGCTGGGCTCCCCGGGGGCGGAGGCAGAGGGGTCCGGACCCGCGTGCGCCCAGGAGCCGGGCATGGAAGGGGCATCCAACCGAGGGCGCTGTCCCTAGAGACTTCCCAGGCCTCCGGGTGGGGTCCTTTCCTCCCACCCAGGGCTGGCCTTTACATCCCTCGTTTTCTCTCTGATCCCAAACCAGAGGGCCCCGCTTTGAGAAACTTAGAAGTCCCAATCCACTTAAAAGTTGAATTGTAAAACGGAGCGGAGCCCACTGAGGCCCGAGAACCCACTGGGAGCGCACTGTTCTTCCCATGGTAAGATGCCAATCGGCTGGGATTCTTGGAGTCTTTTGTTGTTGTTGTTGTTTGCCACCTATGTCTGAAAACACGGAAAGACTAAAAGTGAGTGTAAAGAGACTCTTGCCAGTTCTCAAAACCGCCACCATCAGTCCTCAAAGGCCAGTTAACACTAGGATGACACATTAGAAGATGCACATTTGAAGAGACAAATCCTGGTCAATATGATAACAGCACAATATAGAACCATATTCTAACAATACCAAAATGATGGAGCTCTCTGAGGAAAGGCAGCAAAGCTTCGAGAAGGTGCGCTACAAAATTTGGCGTCTAGGATACCGGCCCTCGACTTCAGTGTTTCTGTGTTATACCATTCCCACGTGGGCATTTTATCTTGACATGCTTCTGGAAGGTGCGATAATCCCGGAAAGGCAGTGGCATGAGCCAACTTTCCTAATCTCCTGTTGGCTTTTTTGGTAGAGGTCCCTAAATAAACTCATCTTTTTTCGTTTGTTTTGTTGTTTTTAGGTGTCACCATGAATTTAAGGCTGGTCACAAGCTTCCACAGTTAGCTGTATTCATCCAAGGTTCATTCTGCATTTCCCTTTTATTTTCGTATTTATTTAGTACATATAAGTGTTTAGCCTATAGATATGTGTGTGCTTGCCTGGTGCCACAGACACCATGAGAAGGTTTGGAATCCTGGAGAATGGAGTTAGAGGCTGTTGGGAGCCACCAAGTAGATGCCGGGAATCCAACTAGTGTCCTCTGTGAGAGCCACAGGTGTTCTCAGCCACTGAGCCATGTCTTCAGTTCTGGCCACCATTCTTGACGTTGAGTTTGGATCTGTTCCTGTGTTAGCAATGTGTGGTGGATAATCTCTCTTGTTGCCAACAACGCAGGGAATCCATGAGGAGGGTAAACAAGTTATACTCTGCCGTGTACTGCCGATAAGCAGTGGCAGTGACTGGGGAGGTATGTTAAGTACATAGTAGATGATAGTCTCAAATGCCAGAGAAGGGTGCCCACCTGCCTCGCTGGATTCTCACAGGAACCTTGTTTTACACACAAGAACTGTAGGGCAGGCTAACCTGCATGTGGACTTCTGAACCCACTGTGCCACAAGTCTCTTGACTGCCTCTGGTCCACCCCTGGCATGAATGACCTGAATTAAGATTCCTTAATGCTAAAAGAAAAACACTGTTAAATGTCAGTAAAGAATTGCTGGTATCCAAGCACATCTGGTTAAAGGCTCTGTGGGAACTTGGGTTCATGCAGGAAGGATGTGAAATAATAGGGAACTGAGCACCGTGCTAGGCCAGGCGATACTGCAGAGGATCAGGATGTGTTGGGGAGGACCGTGTATGCAGGCTGCTTTGCACCACACGAGTGCTCAGCATATTAAATAGATAAATTCAAAACTGAAAGGACAATGCTCCTGAGAGCTGACTATACTTACTGACACTATACCATATTCCAAAACAAAGGTTTAAGACAGTTGAACATGGTAATGTTTAAACCTCTAAGACAGCAAATACTTTATCTCTGTTTTTTTCTCTTTCCTAAAAATATGTACTTGTTCTAAACAATTTGAACATAAACATAAAACACAGAAAGAAAAACTCACCTACAATCCTATCTAGAAATCACTACTATTTATGATCTTCTAACTTTTTCCTGTAAATTTGTATTACTTTTTGATCAGTAAATAGGCATGGAGTTATAAATCAGTGGTAGAGTGCTTGGCTAGGATACACAAGGTCTTGGCTTGGTCTGCCACTTACACACACACACACACACTGAAAACCAGGTGAATAGGATCATAATGTATGTTTCCAGGTGTATTATCTATTGTATTGGTTTTCTGCTTCTATGTGACGTTAACGTAAATGTATCAGCTTAAAGCCACATCTACTTATTATTTCAGAGCTTTCAGTAAATCTGAATCCGGTATGACTGGGGTCTCTGTTTAAAGGCTGAGTTCTTGACTGTGGGTGCTGGAAGAGAGATCTACTTCCAGGCCATGCAGGTCACTGGCAGAATTACGTTCCCTACTGAGGCCGGGCTGAGGCACCTATTTCCTTCTGAGCTGTCAGCTGTAGGGCTGCCATCTACACTCAGAAGCAGCGCAGGCTTTGCCACATGGCTGATCTTCATCTCGACGGCCAGAAATAGAGGCTGTCCTCGTGCAAGCTCTACATTTCCAGCATGTTTGCCAGGATGAGTGCACATAAGCCCACTGAAAGTGATCCCCCTGTGTTAAACTCGATGTTAATTAGTCCATGAAATCCCTTCAAACAGCACTCAGGTTAGTGGCAGTTTCAATAGCTAGTAGAAATGCTAGGGATGGAAATCTCACAGATATGAAAATTTACCTACCATTCCTCTTAAGTCTCAACAAATCTACTTCATTTTTTTAAGCTGCATGTTTCTCACTATATTATGTACCACAATCCAGCAGTGGACATTTATATTGCTCCTAGTTGGTTTCCTTCATACACAATAACCATTCATAATCTTAAGTGCTCATGTACCTGTGAAGTTCTCTATCTAGTAATCTAATAAGAAATTAATATCATAACTTATAAAAACAACTCCCACAGCATAATGAGATTGCAAATTGAGAAAGTTAAAATATGTTCATCACATTTTATTTACTCATTTGTGCATGTGAAAGGAAGTGTGTTGATTCTCTCCTTCTATGATGTGGGTCCCAGGGGATTGAACTCAGGTCGTCAGGCTTGGTGACAAGCATCTTCACCTGCTGAGCTGCCTTGCTAGTAAAGATGTGTGCCTTTTGATGGATTCTGATGCTAACCTTGTTAGTCAACTTGTTCAAATCAAGAAGTGTATAAGTGGCTAGAAGGCCACACCACTGGGTGTGACTATGAGAACAGCAGCAGAGGGGAGATTAGGACAGAAATGAAGAAATAAGACTGAAGAGCTGGAGATGGCTCAGCGGTAAAGAACGCTTGCTGTTCTTCCAGAGGACCCAGGTACGAAACCCAGCACCAGCATGGTGACTCACAGCTCTGTAACTGCAGCCTCAGGGGAGCCAATGCCCTGTTCTGACCTCCTGATGCACTCCATACATGCATGCCAAATACCCATACGCATAAAATAAAAATAAATAAATCTTTAGAAATAAGCCTGGAAAGTTTGTGGTTTGCTCAGAAAAGAGGCACATTTACAGTTGTGGGTAGACAGGGCATGGTCGTCAAAGAGATTAGAACAACTAAAGGGAAGCCATGGACCTTGAATCAGAATAAAAAGTGCTGGGTCCTGCATGGGTTGCACCTGGAAACCTGACTAGGGTGGCAGGAAATTGAAGAAAGGACAGACATACAGACATGCATACGGAAAAGCTGGGATTGGGTGGGATGTGCATACTCTGATGGAGACACACCAACACGAAACAACCCTGGGATATGAAACAAGGAAGGAGGAGGTAGCTAGTGTGAGTCTCTGTAGGGTGCAGCGTCAGGGTTCAGTCATCAGGAGGAAGAAGCTGCAGTTGTTAGTTTTTACACACACTGGTATATAGTTCACAAAACTGCCTGGATTTGCTTTGCCATCCCTCTGAGCCTTATCTGTGGAAGGCTTTGGCAAGCCCATGGATCTGAAGCATGGGAGTCTTTGATATGGCTCTGTTCATGTCAAACAATGTGTGTTCACTCATAACTCTGCACATTCACTCAAGGCTTCATCTTCCCACAGGAAAGAAAAACCCATTGAGGGTGTCTCTGAAATTGGCCAAACCCATTCATTATAGGGTCAATGAGTAAAGCAGTAAACTCATTTGGAAGACTTGCCATAGAGAAGAGAGCTTCTGAATTGTTCCACTTGCCCAGAGCTGCCTAGGAAACTGTTACCCTAGGAACATTTTGCTCAGCCATCCAGGTACTCAGAGGTGTCAGTGTGGTCCAAGGGAGTTCAGCTACATTGTTAGCAGGCAGGAGACCGTGGCATTGTCCACATGACAATGGTTTTGGGGTATACAGAAGGTATACAGAAGGGATCATGGAAACTTACACCCAGGTTTCAGGGGAAGGAGTGAGAGGCCAGTGTGTAGCAGGCTCGGGAAGTGGGCAGGCGGCCCCTCAGAAGGCAACACATAAAACTGAAGATTCGTTGGAGGATTCCAGGCAGCTACAGATGCCAGAACCATGGAACATCTGGAGAAACGGTGCCAGCCAGAAGAGACCCAGCTTCAGACAGGCCACGTGGGCTACGAATGGCCAAGCCTGTGGGAGCTCACATCCCACCACCTGCAGAGGTGGGAAATGGATCTAATGTTTGCCCTTCTGGTTTTGACCTTGGTTTGGTCAGATGTTTCCTCTCTGTTCCCCAGTTTCTCCCTTTTGTAATGGGATGTTTCCTCTGTGCCTCTGTGTCAGGGGTATACCACATGTTTTTGCTGTTGTTGTTTTCTCACAGCTTTGACTCTCACAGGAAGCTTTGAGGTTGAACTTTGAACAGTCTTGGAACTGTTCCCCATCTCCAATGGGGACCATTGGAGATGGACTAAATATATTCTGCATCATGATCTGAACATGAACTTTTGGAGGTCAAAGGCAGAATGCTATGGCTTGAATTTGCAATGCCCTCTACAAGTTCAGGGGCTGGCTGATTGCCTAGCAGCTGTCCGGCTGTTAGGGAAGTATCTGCATTTGGAGGATTGTGGGCTAATCAGTGGATTTCTCCCTTGATAGACTCCTAATATGATGGTGTTATTAACAGATCATTGAAAGGTGGGAATCAGGGCCTACTTGGAGAAGACAGGCCACTGTGTA